GCCTGGCCCCCATGTACCCTGAACTGACTTAGTAGTAGAGGAGGTAACCTTCAACCTTTTGGGGGGTATTCTGATCCCTATCTCATCCCAAAGGTTAACCTTGAATTTCCCCATGTTGCCCTAAACCCTAAACCCTAAACCCTAAACCCTAAACCCTAAACCCTAAACCCTAAGCTGAACCACGGCCCCAAAGCCACCACAGAGCTAACTAACACCGAAGCCCGGACATCCCGAAACATCCATAGATGCAACCAGCCCCTCCCCCCCTGCTATTAAACAAAGTTAGGGTTTTGGGTTTAGGGTTTAGGGTTTAGGGTTTCGGGTTTAGGGTTTAGGGTTTATTGCGCAAGGTATGGAGCTGGCTGATGGAGAGGCGTTGCTTTGGCAGGGGGAAGGGGGTTCGGAGGGCAACATCGGAGTGGGCCGGGGTCCGAACTTCAGAGTGCTTTAGGATTTAGGGCTCTAGGAATTTTCTAGGGGTCTATCGAAAACCCCTACCCGTCTACCCCCATGCCCACAGACCCCTATCTACAGGGGTCTATCCGAAACCGATAGGTGCCTGTGCACAGGCACCTCCCATAGGTGGGATAGGAGCCGCACACAGGTCCCGGTGCCTAAAAACCCCAAGCCCTAAACCCTAAAATGCCCTAAGCCCTAAACCCGAAAAAGGCCTAAACCCTACAGCCTAAACATCCGTACTAAACCCTAAACCCTGTAAACCCTAAAAAGCCCTAGACCCTAAAAAGCCCTAATTAAACCCTAACACCCAAAAAAACCTAAACACTAGAAAACCCCTAACCCTAAACCCTAAAAAACCCTAAACAACCCTAAACCCTGAACCCTAAACCATAAACCCTAAACCCTAAACCCTAAACCCTAAACCCCAAACCCTAAACCCTACTCCTTTGGAGCCCTTAGAGACCACGCGGGCGGAGGTTGACTTGGGCGTAAACTGGGCCGAGCCCACGGCGGAGCCCTTCCTTCGTGCCCTGCGGGACGAGAGGCAAGAGCTTTTTTGCGGAAGGAGCGATTGATTGGGGTTTAGGGTTTAGGGTTAAGGTTTAAGGGTTAAGGGTTTAGGGTAGAGGGTTTAGCGGGTTTGGGGTTTAGGGTTGAGGGGGGGCTGAGGGTTTCGGATGGTTCGGGAGTTTAGGATTGAGGGTTGACACCCTGTGTCTAACCCTAAACCCTAAACCCTAAAACCCTAAACCCCTCTAACCCTAAACCCCCAACCCCTTCTTTTGCAGAAGGCTCTTAGACTTCCTGGGGGCTATAGCCCTAAACCCTAAACCCTAAACCCTAAACCCTTTGGCCGAAGGCTCTTAGACTTCCTTGGGGCCCTTTGCGGGCCGAAGTTCGTGGCCATGCGCCTTGAGCTCTTCGACAAGAGGTGGGGGGGGGGGAGGTTAGGGTTTAGGGTTTAGGGTTTAGGGTTTAGGGTTTAGGGTTCAGGGTTCAGGGTTCAGGGTTCAGGGTTCAGGGTTCAGGGTTCAGGGTTCAGGGTTCAGGGTTCAGGGTGTGGTTGAGGGGGTTGAGGGTTTAGGGTTAAGCCCCCCTATCGGGTTTTGGCAGTGTTGGGGGTGTGTTGGTTTGAGGGTTTGGAGTGTACAGGGTTTGTAGGGTTTGAAGGAAATGGGTTTTAGGTAAACCGGGTTTAGGGCCTTGTCAGGGTTCAGGGTTTGAGAGGTATATAGGGTTTGTGGCTTTTGGGCTTTTTGAGGGGTTTCGGGGTGTTAGCGTTGTTGAGATTTAGGGTTAAGGGTTCAGGGATCGGGCGGTGTTGAGGCGTTGCTTTTCTTATGGGAGTAGGCACTCCTTTTGGGAGTCTTCTAAAAGAAAGAGATGCTGTGGGGCCTGCATTTGTGCATGCTTTTCGGGGTTCCAGGAATTCAAACATGGTTTCGTGATTGTTTGAGCTGTCTTGCTTCAAATGTTGTTGAAGGGTTTCGATAGGTTGAACGCGACTTCGTGGTTAGACTGGGTTGTGCTGTCATGGGAGGGGGGGGGGAGGGAATGGCTGTGATACCGTTATTCGGGTTCTCTGTGGTGTGAAGCCGGCTTCTTGCTAAGGACCTAGTAAAGGAAGGAAATATTTTCCTATATATCCATGACTATTCCCCCCTTGTAAGTTGTTTTTCTGTTTTAAATTTGTTCTTGTATAAAACCCAAGGAAATATTGAAACACATCACTTCTAAACCCTAAACCCTAAACCCGAAACCCTAAACCCTTTATGAAGGTTCTCAGGGGAGTCTAGAAGCAAACCTCCACCCGCATTCCGGTGGCGTCTTTCAGGCCGGGCTCCTCCACCTGGATTCCCTGGCATCAGGCCCTCCTGCCTGTTTAGGGTTTAGGGTTTAGGGTTTGGGGTTTGGGTTTTAGGGTTTAGGGTTTTAGGGTTTAGGGCTTCAGGGCTTCAGGGCTTCAGGGTTTAGGGTTTAGGGTTTAGGGTTTGGGGTTTCAGGGTCCCGGGGTTTGGCCCTTAGGGCTCGGGCTCCGCACCCTTGCTTCTAGCCAGCGCGGTTTCTGGTCGGCTACATACCCTTAGTTGCCCAGTGGTACCCTTTACCCTTTTTCTGGTTATGGATTCCCTCAAAAAGTAACCAACCCCAAAAAGGGTGCCCTTATTACAATATGGTTACTGGGCGACTAAGTACCTTCTAAACTGACGGAACCGTCTTCGGCTGGAAGAGAGTGGTGTTGAAGCGCTCAAGAACCTACAACACACCTGGTTCGGGGTTGGGATGTTCCCGCTTTACACTAACTGTCCTCCATAGGACTTCTCGTACCCCACTGTATTCCCGATTTCATGACTGAACATCCCAAGTCTCAACCCCTAAAGCCCCTTCTTCGGGCTTTCTGAGAACCCTGTTGGGAGTTTTGGTTTAGAGGGTTTGGAGGGGCAACCCAAGGGGGGAATCTGCCTAAACCCGACCCTGAACCCCTGAACCCCTGAACCCGATTGAAGTGGAAGGGCTCCTAAACCCTAAGCCCTAAACCCAAAGCCATTCGGGGAGGGTTCAATGGCCGAGCCCCACGTGCTGGGGGGGGGGGGGGGGGGGGTTTTTGCAATTGCAGCCAGGGCCATAAGAGGGTTTAGGGTTTAGGGTTTAGGGTTTAGGCGTTTAGTGTGTAGTGCTCAAGGCCGGCTGCAAAAAAAAGGGGTCTATAGGGTTCAGGATGTGGGGCCCAATCGCTGTGCCCTCCAGCCAGAGGGTGCCAGCATAGAGCATAGACTTGGGCCTTGAATGGTTACCATTCAGGTTAGCCGAAGCCCTGAAGCTTTTAATGGGTGGAGGGCTTGATGGGCCCTAAACCCTAAACCTTATTATAAACCCTAAACCCTAAACCCTAAACCCTAGACCCTAAAAGGCATTGTTTGGGGACCCGGTTCTTGGAGGACACGTACACCACCCATGTGGGCTTCAGCTGGGACACTGCTACTGCCACTGCTGGCCAGCGTCCGCATCCGGTGACGTTGCGGCTCTGCTGTTTTTTGGGGGATGGGGGTTTAGGGTTTAGGGTTTGGGGTTTAGGGTTTAGGGTTTAGGAGGCGGGGAGGGGGGGGGGGGGGGGGCTCAGGGCTTACCTGAACTCTAAACCCTAAACCCTGAGCCCACGAACCCTAAGCCCTGCAAACCCTTGGTCCTAAGTCCTACACCCTTGAGGGCTTCTGGGTGGGGGGCTTGCGTTTCAGGGTTTTCCAGGCTTCGGAATATTTTTTAGACTTGTCAGTTGGCTGACATAAGCAAAGCTCACGGAAATGTCTGCCTCCCTAAACTCTAAGCCCGAAAACCCTAAAACCGAGCTCTGAACCCCAAGGTCGGGGTTAAGGAAGGGAAAACGCCACCTGTTCGAAAGAAGTTGCGGGTGGAAAGTTCTGAGACACAGGCGCCGCCACCGACTCTAAACCCGCAAGAAAATCAGGCCCGCAAACCCTTAACAACCATAAAGCCTTCAAGGCCTAAGGTTTAGGGTTTAGGGTTTAGGGTTTAGGGTTTGGGGCCTAAACTGAACATCCGCAGCAATTTGGCTACAGGGGCCAGGCCGTGTGCTTTGGCCCAGGGAGAGCCAACCTGTAGAAGGCTCCTCGGCTGCCTTGGCAAGTAAGGGGGCAAAGCACCCTGTAACCCTAAAGGGTTTAGGGTTGAGGGTTTAGGGCTGGGGTCTGGGGTCTGGGGTCTGGGGTCTGGGGTCTGGGGTTTGGGGTTTGGGGTTTGGGGTTTGGGGTTTGGGGTTTGGGGTTTGGGGGCTGCGGCCTGTTTCAGGGTTATTGGCCTTGGGGTTTGTAACCACTGAAGCGTAGAGTTACCCCCCCCCCCCTCTCCCCCACGAGAAGGAACTCGAACTGGGTCTAAGTAGGGCTTCAGGTTCCAGGAACTTGTGAAGAGAACTTCCCCATTCGACCCACAAGTAGGCAGGGTTGAGGGTTTAGGGCTACTACATGCTTAAGAGCCCCGCCCCCCCAAAAAAAAACTTAAAAGAACATAATCCCTATATTTCCCTTCTGTGGAAAGAATGCTTTCTTTTCTTATTCTATTTAGTTTTTTCAGGGGGGTTCTTAAGCAAATAGTAGTCGCACCCCGAAGCGAAGCATACTGTAGCACAATCCCCAGAAGAGGGAGCCCTTGAGGTGGTGGGAGGGGCTAATTCGGGCAGGAGGGCATCTCTGCCCGCGTTGCAAAGACCAAAGGGTGTGGATGCTCGGTTTAGGGTTTAGGGTTTAGGGTTTAGGGTTAGCATTCTTCTAGTTTATGAACATAGGGTTGAGGGTCGCTTCTGCGCATTCTGCTGGAACCCTTTGAGTCCAGACCCCAGGCAAAACAGAGTAGCCCTCTAGGCAGCAGACCTTGAGAACTACAAAGGGGCCCCCTTGTTAGCCCTGAATGCCAGACACCCTACTTGGAAGCCCTTTCGGCTTGGTAAGTAGGTTGGTAAGTTTGATTACAAAGTGGTTTAAGGGGATACTAAGTCATGCCAGCCACACCCCTCGACTGAGGCAATGAAGCTCCCCGTGCTTTTGGCGGCGCTGGTGTCGCTGGCGCACCTGGCACGGGCAGATGAGAATGACGTCGCCATCGGTGCCTCGCACTCCCTTCGGACGGTTGCAAGACCCAAACCGGAACCCGAAACCCTAAACCTGAAACCCGAAACCCTAAACCCTAAACCGTTCAACACGCAGACCGAAACCGCTGCACGGAGCCTAAGTCCTATCATCACCAATTACACATCCCCTGAACCCTATATCTTCAGAATCTGATCACCAAGTCTACCTCAGGTCCCCCAAACCCTAAACCCTAAACCCTAAACCCTAAATGCTGTGTTCCTTCCAAGTCACAGCAATCATCAGCCGAGTTTTTTCAAGCCTGGGAACACCATGCGCCAAACCCCCGGCACGCTAAACTCAGCGATCCATGGGTCAAACCTTGCGTAGCCCGCAAGCGTGCCACGCCTGGAACTCCACAGTTTAGGGTTTAGGGTTTAGGGTTTAGGGTCTAGGGTTTAGGCTTGCAGGCATCCAAAACCTGGAATCCCAACCCACCTTACACAAGAATTACAATGGTTGAACCACCGACTTTCGATGCCACATCCTTAGAACCAGAACTCGAACCTGTGATAAGCTTTGCGCAAACCTGGCCTGTCGACCCTGAGGTTTAGGGTTTAGGGTTTAGGGTTTAGGGTTTAGGGTTTAGGGTTTAGGGTCTTATCACCATCCCTAGCTCAACATCCAGGAGCCTGCCAGACAGCACCGCACCTAGACCCCCAAAACCCCAAACCCTAAACCCCAAAATCCCAAACTCTAAACTCCTATAGACCCCTAAACCCCAACTCAGGCTCTTGACCTTTTTTTCCCATATTGCGCCCGAGAGTAGTCAGCTACCCTAAACCCTAGTCCCTAAACCCTAAACCCTAAACCCTAAACCCTAGTGTACCAAGCCCAAGAAACCCTAAATCTCAGGGGCCCATGGAGGGGTTCAAGCCCGAAGGTGCTGGGGTCACCCCCGTGCAGAAGGTCTTGGACCTCTTAGCCTCAATGAAGGTGAAGGGTGAGGCCGCCCCAAGGGTTTAGGGTTTGGGGTTTAGGGTTTAGGGTTTAGGGTTTGGGTTTAGAGGCTTTACCCGGGCTCCCATGTAGTATTTGTTTGGGATCCCCCTATAGCTAACCGTAAAAGGAACTATATTGGAGCCTTCAGGTAGAGGGTCTAGAGGGTGCAAAGGGTTCAGAGGGTTTAGTGTTTAGGGTTTAGGGTTTAGGGGTGGGTTTAGAGGGTTTTGAGAGGGTCTAGAGGGTGTAAAGGGTTCAGAGGGTTCAGAGGGTTTAGAGGGGTTAGAGGGCGTACACTGTTTAGAGGGTTTAGAGGGTTCCGCTCATACACCCTCAAGCATGAGACCCTTGCGACCCTTGAACCGTCTCATGCCGCACAACCTGACAATTCTACAGGGCTTCTGGCACAAGGGAATAGTGCGTAGGGGTACGAAGTACCTTAAGTCAGGCTCTCCGAAATATAGCCTGACATGTCAGGCCTTTTTTTGTATATGTATATATACATATACATATATATATATATATACATATATACATATATGTATATATATATATATAGATATGTACATCTAGCACTACAAGAACCTGCTTGCTAAGCTCCGGAGCCTCCTAGCCAGCAACGACCCGATGCCAGGAGGAGAAGCAGAAGGAGGCCCTCCAGTACGCCAAGTACGAGCAGTTCTGCGCCAACACACAGGCCCTAGACCCTAAACCCTAAACCCTAAACCCTAAACCCTAAACCCTAAACCCTAAACCCTAAAAACCCTAAAAACCCTAAAAACCCTAAACCCTAAAATCTAAAAGGGGTTTTCCGACAATCAGGGGCCCCCTTCTCCCCCCAAATATCCCTAAACCTGAAAATCCTAAGCCCTAAAACCCTACCAACCCCTGAACAGCGCACCTTACTCAGGCCCTAAAGGGACTTCAAAAAAAATTTTGGGGGCGGGGGGAAGATAAACCCTAAACCCTAAACCCTAAACCCTAAATCCTAACGAGGAGGGGGGTGAGCGGGGGGGGGATGGTCAAACCCAGCGGCCGCTTCTGCCAGGAGGCGAAGGAGAAGACCTTGCAGGAGCCTGGGCACGCGAGGTAACTCTGCCCCCCCCCCCCCCCCCCCAACAAAGGATCAACATCCTGGAGCGAAGCTCTTGGGGTTTAGGGTAATTTAGGGTTTAGGGTTTAGGGTTTAGGGCTTGAGCTCAGGAGACCGCCTCGCAGATCGAGATCATGACGGCTGACCTTGCCAAGCCACTCGGGCTCATACTTTAGGATTTAAAAGTTACAAAAAAGTTTAAAAAGTTTAGGCTTCAGGGGATTATGGCTTAGCCCTAAACCCTAAACCCTAAACCCTAAACCCTAAACCCAGCTGCAAAAAGACATGTTCGCCGGAGTTTAGGTGCCGTGCTGAGCTGGGGCTGGGGTGCCGGGGGAGCTTGCAAGGTCGACCACATGCAGGTTTAGGGTTTAGGGTTTAGGGTTTAGGCTTTAGGCTTTAGGGCTTAGGGTTTAGGGTTTAGGGTTTAGGGTTTAGGGTTTAGGATTTAGGGTTTAGGGTTTAGGGTTCCCTCTCCCCATAGCAGGGGTGGGTTTGAAGCTACACCATTTTTTATGCTTTCTAGTACGCTTACTCCCCTGTATAATCCTTGCAAAGCCATACGAAACTTAATTGTTATAGGGCCCCCAAACCTACCCAAGTATACGCACCTGCAGTTCCCGTTCTTGTTGGATATGTTGCAATCCAACCGCAAAACTCAACTTGCCAATTGTTGACAGCCTACAACACTAAAGCCCCCCCCCCCCTTCCCCGATCCTTGAAACACATTCTTAGAACCTTGTCGTGCTGCCCTGAACCCTAAACCCCAAACCCTAGACCCTAAACCCTTGCGAGGCTGTCTTCAGACATCGCTGATGTCGACGCCTCCCTACCTGACCTCAACAAGGACCTTGGGCCTGGAGTCTTCGGGTTTCGGGGTTTAGGGTTTAGGGTTTTAGGGTTCCTTTCGGGTTGAGGGTTTTAGGGTTGTAGGGTTTTCGGGTTTGGGGGTTTTAGGTTTTTGTTTAGGGATATAGGGTTCCAAAGGGTTTGAGGGTTTAGGGTTTTGGGGTTTTAGGGTTCAGGGTTTAGGGCTTAGAGCCTCCACTTTCTCAGTACCAGCAGGTTCGTTCCTATGTATAAGTTCTACAGGGTCTGAGTCCCGAACGGCACGTATACCCTACACCCTAAACCCCAAACCCCAAACCCTAAACCCCAAACCCTAAACCCTAAACCCACAGGGGCTTTTGAGCTTTGTAAGGGTCTGCAACGGCGCAGGACATCGACAAGTGGACGGCCGACAAGGAGAAGGCGACGCAGGAGCGGCAGGATGAGCGGGTGGCCTACATGAAGGCCCGGCTCCCGAGTAACCCCGAAGGGTTTAGGGTTAGGGTTTAGGGTTTAGGATTTAGGGTTTAGGGTTTCCCTATTCCGGTGGTGGCCCTGTGGTACCCTTTTGCCACTTTTGGATTCTGGTGTTCCTTTAGAAAAGTGACCAACACCAATGAGAGGTACCCATATGATGGGTAGTTCTAAGAGTTAGGGGTAGTTCTGTGAGTCAGGGTTCCTGCTTAAACCCCATTCATCTTAAAGACGCCAATGTAGGAACCCACTACATGGGAGCCTTCAGGTAAATAACCGATGCCTTTGGGTTATGGTGCTGGTGCCCTGGCGTGTCGCCGCAATAGTCTCGGCCCCCGCATCCTTGTGCGCTACTTGGGAGAGAACAAAAACTCTCCGAAACCCTGAAGCAAAAGCCTAAACCCTAGGAACCCTAACCTCCCCAATTCAGAGGCGTATCCTCCCCAACACCCTAAACCCTTGAGGAACCTTAAACTCCCCAATTTGTGTGACACCAAAGACGCCGCAGGCGCACGGCGAGTACCTCAAGGTGCCCAGGGCTTTGGGGCCTCATTTTGTGTTTGGCAAGGGGTTTAGGGCGACCCGCATGCAGAGAACCAGTTTCTAAGGACGCTCATCACCTACATTACAGGTCCTTGGGGGTGTTACTTGGAGGTTCATGGGTACTTATAACCCCAAATATAAGTCTACTTATAACCTACTTAGAGGACTTAGGGGGCTCATAAGGCTCTAAATGAGCCAATGTGGAGCGTCAGGTGCTCCCCCTCACGGGTAATGAATCTTCAGCCCATTGAACACGGTCGTTCTGAATTCAACGGCTCTTGGCACTTTCACAAGCACCCCCTGCAGCTTCTGTAGCCCCACGTGCCTCAACTACATCTTTGCCCTGGTAAGTTGGTGGTTTCTCAGGTAGACTTGGAAATAGTTTGTTTTTTTTTTTGTCAACTTTGGGCACTTTAATTCCGAGGAAACAGCTCAAATCAGAATTCTTGCTAGGGTTCCAAGTTCAGTATAGGCTATACTGGGCTATACTATAGGTCTAGGGTTGCAGTTGCGTTGGCCAGGCCATCCAGAATGTTGGGAAGGCCTACACCACGATCAAGTCTCAGGAGCTTGCAGCTGCAAACGCCCTCACCCTAAACCCTAAACCCTAAACCCTAAACCCTAAACTTAAACACTAAACCCTAAATCGGTTGCTCCCTCCTGGGAGGTCTTTTTTAGGGTTTATCAAGCCTATGGGTCCCATGCACCCAACCTGGGATTAGGTCCCTAAATCCTAAACTTGCATAGCTTCGACCTCTCGGATTCTTCGCACAGCCCTGTGACTTTGTCATAGTGGGGTCGCAATTTACATGTCGAAGGGTACTTAAACTCAATGAGGCATTAAACATTTAGATCTTTAATACTATCCCAGCCACGAACCCGTGTATCCTGCATAGGTTGAGGCTTTGGTGCTTTGGGGGGGGTGTCGGATCTCCTCAGCTGAGCACAGATGCAAGTACCCCTTTCGGAACATGGGTTGGGGTCCGTACCATCCTCTAAAAATGCAAGAAGGTTGGGTTCACAACTTTTCCCCCCCCCCCCCCCCCCCCCCCCCCACCCCCCCACCCCACCCCCCCGACCCCAGCATGGCTCGGCACACATCGAGCAGCAACGGCTTCTACATGTACATGTGACGCTGAGTTTGCGTTTTAAGTTCCTGCTATAAACGCGGAAGTCCCCCTGGCAACGCGTTGCACGTGGCAAGTCCTCTTAATTCCAGTGCACCTCATGGATGTCGCCGAACGCCCGATGCAATGCTGCACCCCAGCATCCATCCCAACACGCCAACCACTCACCCACAGCAGAACGACTATCTACTATTAAGCAGTTGTATAACTATAACTATACTTGGAGGTTCATGGTACTCATTAACCAACTAGAACTGCACTTAGAACTGTACCTATAACCATATTAGGGCTTAAGGGGCTCATCTCAGAAGTGCCTTATAAGTACAGTCATAATTGGTTGATAAGTGCCCCTAAACCCAAACCCTAAACCCTAAGCCCTAAACCCTAAACCCTAAACCCTAAACCCCAAACCCCAAACCCCAAACCCCAAACCCAGTCATAACCGTTTCAGAAGTGCCATGAACCTCCAAGTATGCTTCCCCCCACCCCCCCCCCCCCCTAAACCCTTAAACCCTAAATCTTAAAAACCTTAAAGCTTAAACCTTAAACCTTAAACCTTAAACCCAGCACACCGGAACGTGGGCAGCTCTAGACTCCTGCGCTTTTCCAGGACATGGACAAGGAGCAGGCCACGGGGTTTAGGATTTAGGGTTTGGGGTTTTGGGGTTTTGGGGTTTTGGGGTTTTGGGGTTTAGGGTTTAGGGTTTAGGGTGTAGGGTTTAGGGTTTAGGGTTTAGGGTTTAGGGTTTTGGAGCTCTATATGCCTCGCAACTCCAAATCCTTGATTAGAGCGGTTTTTTTGTTCCGGTTTTGGATCAAGCTGTTTGATGTAGGTCATTGATTCTCTGCACAAGACGTAAAGTTACAGTTTAGTAAAACCTACAAAAGCACCTAAGTGACCTGAAAGATCATGGGACACAAAAACCCTAAACCCTCAACCCTAAACCCTATTCCCTAAACCCTAAAGCCCTAAACCTAAACCCTAAACCCACAACCTCGCCCAATTAACCCTGCCCTCCTGGCACTGTGAGGGGCGGGCTTGAGGGTTTAGGCCAAGCCCTCAACCCTCGAAGCCCGTAAGTTCCTAAAACCCTAAACCCTAAACCCTAAACCCTAAACCCTAAACCCTAAACCCTAAACCCTAAACCCTAAACCCTAAACCCTAAACCCTATAAACCCTAAACCCTAAATCCTAAACCCTATATAAACCCTAAACCCTAAACCCTAAACCCAGGTCCAGAAGCTCACGCTTGGAAGCCCTCTTGACTTAAGTTGGGTTATGGGGGTTTGCTAAGGATTTCTAGAGGATGCGGAGTAGTCTTGCTAGCCCAAAAAGGGCTTCCAAACCCTCTAAACCCTCTAAGCTTCATAAATCCTCAAGGAACCCTACATGCAAAATGGGCTTAGGGTTGGCCCCCAGGACATCAAGGGACTAAGGGAGGGACCTTTTTTGGGGGTTATTTAGGGATCTACTTAGGCAGATAGGGACTATCTGCGGTACATATAGGGGTTACATAGGGGAAGAAGATTTAACGGTCCTTTGCAGGGGTCCCTCCTTATGCCCCCTCAAGTTTGGGATGTGACCCCCTTAGACGAACAGTCCTTGGAAAGGGATTGCCATAGAAGGACCCCCTAAACCCTAAATCCTAAACCCTAAACCCTAAACCCTAAACCCTACAACCCTACAACCCTAAACCCTACAACCCCTGCAACCCTACAACCCTACAACCCTACAACCCTACAACCCTACAACCCTACAACCCTACAACCCTAAGCCCTAAGCCCTAAACCCCCCCCCCCCCCCCAGAAGCTCGCAGGCCAAGTCCTTCCTCCAGTTTCCGGACCTCTTTGGAGACGAAGAGGGCGCCTCCTCTTCCGAGGTCGGATATTATGCCCTTCACTTACTTGCCAGGATGGGTTTAGGGTGGGTTTGGGTGTAGGGTTTAGGATTCCCTTAAGAAGGGTCTTTATGGTAGGCTTGACTATGGGGATTACAAGGCCGGTAGGAGGGAGAATTTGGGAGTTCGATACTTCTATGGTAAAACCCTACACCCTGAATTTTCCTTCTACAGATACGCCTGTCCAGTCGGTGTAGGCGGAGGAGGGTTCAGGCCCTAAGCCATTAAGCTCACCCTGCACCCTTCAGCGAGAGGCCGACGCTCTTAGTGCTCCCTCTGGTGCACGTGCTGCCATTCAGGTGGGGCTTTGAGGGGGAGATTGGGGGCTTTCAGAATGGGGGTTTTAGGGCTTAGGGCTTATACGGTTTAGGGCTTCGGGCTTGTAGGGTTTCGGGCTTAGGGCTCAGGGCTTAGTGTTGAAGAGGTTTTGGGGCTTACCTACCCAAGGAGTTGCGTGCAAGCCTTCTGATTGTGACTCTGCCTGACCTAAACCCTAAACCCTAAACCCTAAACCCTCCTGCAGGTGCTCGAACCCCAACAAACTTCTGTCAGAGACTATGTCTGTAATGTTTCTTTGGGGCGGGCGGGGGGAGGATTTGAGGGTTTATCTCTGGGATGCTCCCACTTACACTAACAGTCCTCAATAGAGACTAAGGTAATTATAATCCCTACTAAGGACTCATAGTATACGGGGGAACATCCCACGCTAATCTACTCGCTGTGCCTAAACCCTAAACCCTAAACCCTAAACCCTAAACCCTAAACCCTTTGTCTTTTTGTATGGTGGGTTGGGTTCATGGCTTGCTCTCTAGGGAGAGCCCTTGGGATGCTTTGCTCAAAGTCGTTAGCATCCCTTCACTACATCCCGCGCTTTTTTTGAGGGTTTAGAGTTCAGTGTCAAAGATCTGTGCCTTTTTTGAGGGTTTAGAGTTTAGTGTCAAAGATAACCTTTTAAGCAGAGAAAAGACTCCGCCCCAAGCCGGTTGCAGGCACAAATCCCCAAACCTCCTCCACAGGGTTAGAAGGTTTACGGCTGGTTTAGGGTTTAGGGTTTAGGGTTTAGGGTTTAGGGTTTAGGGTTTAGGGTTTAGGGTTTAGGGTTTAGGGTTTAGGGTGTAGGTGGATTCGATGTCAAGGATTTCGGGTGCAGGCCTTTTTGGGCCCCGAAACACCGGAAACCTCATAGGTGTCGCGGTTTGGGAGTCGGATCCTGAAGCTTCCTTTTTGCAGGGTTTTTGCCCGGTTTAGGGTTTAGGGTTTAGGGTTTAGGCCACCTTAGGCAACCAGAAGTGTTTGTAGAAGCTCAACTGTTTGTTTGAAGCAGGCTGGGTCAGCTCTACTCTCCCCATCCCTCCCCCCCCAAACCCCCCCCACCCCCCCCCCCCACCCCCCCCCCCACCCCCCCCCACCCCCCCACCCACACCCCCCCCTACCCCCACCCCCCACCCCCCACCCCTCCCCACCCCCCCCCACCCCCCCCACCCACCCCCACCAACCCCCCACCCCCCCCCCCCACCCCAAACCCAACCCTTAGACCCTGTGCGACTTTGAGTCAGCTAGGCAGGTGGCAGAAGAAAGCTTTTAGACCCAACCCTAAACCCTAAACCCTCAACCCCAAACCCTAAACCAACCCTAAACCCTAAACCCTAAACCCTAAACACCTTCAACCCTCAACCCTAAGTGAAAATCCTGCGGTGGTCTTGAGGCTTTCCTGGCCGAGAACAGTGAGGCAGCATTTGGGGCTTGGGATGACTTCTGTGGCCCTTCCCAGACCCCTAAAAAAAACCTCTAAGTGTGTGAAAAAATATATATATATATATATATGCAGATACATATATAAATATGGCCATATTTATATAACATTGTATATATATATATATATACGTATAGGGTCCAGGGTTTAGGGTTTGGGGTGTAGGGTTTAGGGTCTAAGTAGATTCTTGCTGGGCTCTTAGTAGGTATGTCTTCTCGCAGGAGGCTGTAGGATGGGATTCGCACTTAGGTAGGCCCTGGAAAGAATCCATTTTGTCCCCTGATTTTTGGGTTGCCCTGAACCCTAAACCCTAACCCTAAACCTGCCCTAAACCCTAAACGCGAATAAGAGGGTCATGTTTCGGAATAGTTTCCGAGGGTTTTAAGGGCCATCCTGGGACTTTATACTCTAAGGTGGGGCAGGATCTAGACCCGACCTCCAAATCGTCGCTGCTTGCTTTGAGCATCTCAGTCCTTCTGTGGCTTCAGAAGCTCTGACGGCCCTACGCCCGATAAGCTGCTCAAAGCCTGAACCCATAAATTAAAACCTTAGCCCCCTGAAACCCCCGCATATCCCTATGCAGAGACCCCTATGCTCTAAACCCCTAATTATTCCCCCATACCCTGGACTCCCACAACCCTTGACACGCAATACCGCTGCGCCGCACCCTTACATACCCTATACCCCCCTATGCCCTATACCTTGGGATGTTCCCCCTTATACTCACAGCCCTTCATGGAGAGTATAGTGCCCCCCCCCCCCCCGCTACTAGCTACTATACTCCCTACCGAGGTTTAAGGGGGAACATCGCAACCTATACCCCAAAAAGCCCTCCCCCTAAACCCTTATAAACCCTAAACCCTAAACCCTAACCCTACCCTAAACCCTAAACCCTAAACCCTAAACCCTAAACCCTAACCCTAGGCAAAGCCACAACCCTCGAGCAGGTCTCAGTAGCTGCGGAAGGTCCGGGTAAGGCGAAAGGCTACGAGTTCGGCTCGGAAGCTTGTGGCGGCATGGGTTGGGTGAGGGTTTGGCAGTGTACTTAAGTCTGGGGTGTTTGGGCTTACAGGGTTCAGGGTTTAGGGCTTAGACTTGGCATGCATGTTGTTCTAATCGAGCACCTGTTTATTGGGGGGGGGCCCCCCCCCCCCCCCCCACACCCGCCACAATAAGAAAAGCGGGGTCCCGCAATAGTATGACCATGGCCCTGTATTGATTCTCTATTGAAAACCAGAAGAATGTATTGAAAACAATAGCAATGTATAGAACTGAATAACAGAGTATTGACTCTCTATGAAAAACTATTGGAATGCATTGAATCTCTATTTGAACTGAATAGCAAGACCAGGGCTCCCTCCCCCTCAAGGCCTCCCATAATTGTGGTCCCTTTTTATGCATGTGATGCTGTCTTTGCTAGGCAGAGCCCACAAGGGGTAGCTCAGGAAAGAATGAAAACTTCTCTCCTCCAGGAAGCAATCACATAAGAAATCCTAGCTTTCTGAAGGGCCCCAGATTCTGGGAAAATAAAGTTTCGGCTTCTTAAAAAACTACAGGACCAGGGCTCCCCCCACAGGGCCTCCTATAATTGTGGTCCCTTTTTTATAAATGCGATGCTGCCTTTGCCGGGCAGAGCCCACAAGGGGGAGCTCAGGAAAGAATGAAAACTTCTCTCCTCCAGGAAGCAATCACATAAGAAATCCTAGCTTTCTGAAGGGCCCCAGATTCTGGGAAAATGAAGCTTCGGCTTCTTTAAAGCTTTTACTTTTAAGCTAACAAAAATGGAGCCCGATAATTTTTTTGTGGCCCCCCATTTTTTCTATGAATGTGGTGGTGTTTCCCCATACGAAATCTCCCGCATGGAAAGTAGTCTTCCCGGCGGGCTTCTCGGCGAAATAAATTTCTTTAAACGTGGGGGTGTTAATTAAGCAGGTGCTCGGAATACACACATTTGTCCCACTTGCTGACAGGTGCAGCTGCTTATCATGAACCCCCATGAACCCTCTAAAGAACCTACACCCTAGCGGTTCAGACTTTTTGGGGTTTGGCTGGGGTCCTTCTTTAGCCATGAGGACAAGATCTTGGACTTGCTGAAGAAGCTGGAGGGCAAGTTCAAGAAGGAGCGAGGGACGTTGGAGAAGGACGAGGTGGACAAGAAGCCGCTCAGCCAGATACGTTCCTGGAACTCCAAACCTTTAAGAAGCTCGCATAAGCCTTTATAGGGCATCTGTATAGCCAATCCAAAATCCCTAGAAGTCCTAAAGCACTGCCCTACCTGTAGCCCAAAGCCCTCTACTCCAAAGATGCTTCAATGGTGTCAAGTACTTGTTCTTAGTAGTGAATGCGGAATTGTGCCACAAAACCCCCGTCTACATATATATATATATATGACCCAGGGCATTGTGCAGGGCACCTCATTTCTAAAACCTAACCCCTAAGTAGCCCTACGCTCCAAGCCCTAACCCCGAATACCCCGAATGTTTCAAGTAGCCCTAAACCCTGAACCCTAAACCCTGAACCCTAAACCCTAAACCCCAAACCCTAATGCAACGAAAGGCACTCCTACGAGCTCCTCTTGCAGACTTGGAAGTCCCAGATCTCTGGGGCCGAAAAGACTCGGGAGGATAAGGCGCACACACACCCGGCACACCCATCGAGGGCTGAGGGTTTAGGGTTTAGGGGTTTAGGGTTTAGGGCTAGGGTTTAGGGTTTGGGGTTTGGGGTTTGGGGTTTAGTTTAGGGTTTTGGGTTTATGGTTCTTTTCCTTCGGGCTCAGGATCGTTGACCGTTGTTCCGGTTCCAGGTTGAGAAGGGTTGAGGGTTTAACCCTAAACCCTAAACCCTAAACCCTGAGCACGGACCATTCTCGAAGCCAGATGCCAACAGGGTGCGGAGTCTTGATATAGTGCCTGACTCAGCCAATCTCTCGAGTGCGATGATTCCCTCAACCCTAAACCCTAAACCCTAAGCCCTAAGCCCTAAACCCTAAACCCTAAACCCTAAACCCTAAACCCTAAACCCTAAACCAAACGGGGATAACTCGGAAGTTGTCCCGCCCTCCATCCTGATCAATATATGGGTCGGAATACTTAAAACCCTAAGCCCTAAACCCTAAACCCTAAACCCTAAAGGGTCCCTTTAGAATTTCACTGCAACAACGCCCAAACCACATTCATACTTGCAAAGGGTATTCCCTTGTATGGACCCTTTATACTTCTGCTAGAATAACCCCAAAAACCCTATTCTAATAACTCAGGCCCCTATTCCCTTATAGGGTCCCTTTATAGTTCTACTATAATACCACCCAAAAAACAAATACATACATATATATGTATATGTATATATGGCATATATATATATATTCTAATTATTCAGGCCCGTATATCAGGTGGCTTCCAAGCTCAAGAAGGAGCAGGCCATGGCCAGCAAGGAGAAAGACCTGGCAGACCTCAAGAAGCTGAGCGAGGACTGCAGCTCCTTTCAGGGTGCTTCAAGAGGGTTTAGGGTTTAGGGTTTAGGGTTTAGCGTTTCAGGGTGCTTCAAAAGGTTACCCCCCCCCCCCCCCCCCCAAAAAAAAAAAAAAAAAAAAAAAAAAAAAAACTCCGAGCCCCACCTGAAGAACCCCAAAGACCTGCCTTTTGGTAGGTTGCCTAAGGACCCTAAGGGGCTTTTATAGTAAGAGCCACACAGCAGTAGGTTTTCGGGTCTTAAGGTCCAAGCCCTTACATAACCCTAAACCCTAAACCCCAAACCCTAAACCCTAAACCCCAAACCCTAAACCCTAAACCCTAAACCCTAAACCCTGAACCCTGAACCCTGAACCCTGAACCCTGAACCCTGAACCCTGAACCCTGAACCCCAAGCCCTTGCATGCCAGAGGCCTTGTAGCGTGGACGTCACTTCAGCTCAGCGGGGCAAAAAGAAATCCATACGTTAGGGTTTAGGATGTAGGATTTAGGGTTTAGGGTTTAAGGGTTTAGGATTTAAGGGTTTAGGGGATTTAGGGTTTCGGGTTTAGGGTTTAAAGGGGGGGCGGGGGGGGCGGGGGGGGGGGGGGGGGTTACGGGGCAAAGCAACCCAAAGAGGCGCCTTCTACAAGCTATATGTGAAGAGTCGTAAGCCAGCAGTTGCAAGGTGTACTTGTAAGTCATACCCGGCAAGGCAGGTGTTATGATGTTTCTTCGGTTGCAAGATGGGAAGTTTGTCTGTATAACTCTTATGACATATGAGCTATGAGTTCTGAGACATGAGCACTTCAAATACTAGCGTGCCGTACCTCGAAGAAGGCTACCTCTCATAAACCACCTAAACTGCTTTGGGAGCTTGAAGTAAACCTTCCTTATAAGTGCACTACAGGTCCCCCTGAACCTTAAAACCAACTAGTCTGTGGTACGTTTTGCATGTCGAGGAATGCTTTGGAGAGGGCCATATGACCATACCTTAGAACCTACTTTGTGTACGGTGACTGTTTTTAAACATGTGGAGGGCGGGCCCGGGCCACAAGCCACAGAGGTAGTATAAAATGTCTATTTAAATTTCCGTGTGTTTAAATGTATAATCCAAGTGCCCTTGCTTTGCCCTGGCACTTGGGGCAACTCGCCGACGCCTGGAATTGGTTTTGGTGCTTTTCAGTGGTTTGGATAGAAAAATACTCGAGGGGCTCTCGGGGGGCCTTTGGGGTTTCTGGGCTTTTGCAGGCTTTTCAGGGCCGTGGGAAGCCAGAAAGTCCTAGGTTTCTGTGGGCTTGGGGCCTTTCAGGGGTGGGCAGAAGCCAGAAAACACCCTAGGACAATGTCCTAGGTTTCTGTGGGCTTGGGGCCTTTCAGGGGTGGGAAGAAGCCAGAAAACACCGTAGGACAATGTCCTAGGTTTCTGGTGCTTGGGGCCTTTCAGGGGTGGGGAGAAGCCAGAAAACACCCTAGGACAATGTACTAGGTTTCTGGGGCTTGGGGCCTGTCAGGGGTGGGAAGAAGCCAGAGAACACCCTAGGACAATGTCCTAGGTTTCTGGGGGCTTGGGGCCTTTCAGGGGTGGGAAGAAGCCAGAAAACACCCTAGAACAATGTCCTAGGTTTCTGTGGGCTTGGGGCCTCTCAGGGGTGGGAAGAAGCCAGAAAACACCGTGGGACAATGTCCTAGGTTTCTGGTGCTTGGGGCCTTTCAGGGGTGGGAAGAAGCCAGAAAACACCCTAGGACAATGTCCTAGGTTTCTGGTGCTTGGGGCCTTTCAGGGGTGGGAAGAAGCCAGAAAACGCCCTAGGACAATGTCCTAGGTTTCTGGGGGCTTGGGGCCTGTCAGGGGTCGGAAGAAGCCAGAGAACACCCCAGGACAATGTCCTGGGTTTCTGGGGCTTGGGGCCTTTCAGGGGTGGGAAGAAGCCAGAAAACACCCTCGGACAATGTCCTAGGTTTCTGGGGCTTGGGGCCTTTCAGGGGTGGGAAGAAGCCAGAAAACGCCTAGGACAATGTCCTAGGTTTCTGTGGGCTTGGGGCCTTGCAGGGGTCGGAAGAAGCCAGAGAACACCCTAGGACAATGTCCTAGGTTTCTGTGGCTTGGGGCCTTTCAGGGGTGGGAAGAGGCCAGAAAACGCCCTAGGACAATGTCCTAGGTTTCTGTGGCTTGGGGCCTTTCAGGGGTGGGAAGAAGCCAGAAAACGCCCTGGGACAATGTCCTAGGTTTCTGTGGGCTTGGGGCCTTGCAGGGGTGGGAAGAAGCCAGAGAACACCCTAGGACAATGTCCTGGGTTTCTGGGGCTTGGGGCCTTTCAGGGGTGGGAAGAAGCCAGAAAACACCCTAGGACAATGTCCTAGGTTTCTGGGGCTTGGGGCCTTTCAGGGGTGGGAAGAAGCCAGAAAACGCCCTAGGACAATGTCCTAGGTTTCTGTGGGCTTGGGGCCTTGCAGGGGTCGGAAGAAGCCAGAGAACACCCTAGGACAATGTCCTAGGTTTCTGGGGCTTGGGGCCTTTCAGGGGTGGGAAGAGGCCAGAAAACACCCTACAACAATGTCCTAGGTTTCTGTGGCTTGGGGCCTTTCAGGGGTGGGAAGAAGCCAGAAAACGCCCTAGGACGATGTCCTAGGTTTTTGTGGGCTTGGGGCCTTGCAGGGGTGGGAAGAAGCCAGAAAACACCCTAGGACAATGTCCTAGGTTTCTGGGGCTTGGGGCCTTTCAGGGGTGGGAAGAAGCCAGAAAACACCCTAGGACAATGTCCTAGGTTTCTGTGGGCTTGGGGCCTTTCAAGGGGTGGGAAGAAGCCGGAAAACACCCTAGGACAATGTCCTAGGTTTCTGGGGCTTGGGGCCTTTCAGGCGTGGGAAGAAGCCAGAAAACAGCCCAGGACAATGTCCCAGGGCTGAAAGCCTCCAAGCCATTACAAAAGTCTAAGCCCAAACCCCAACCAACAACAACACCTTCAACCGACAGCAGGCAGCCGACGTCGTGGACGACCCCGTTTCCACGGGGGTAATTTTAATGGTGATGGTTTCCGGGTGTTTAAAAAAGGGGCGGCCCCACCCAACCCCTCACGGAGGTAGTATAAAATATTTGTTTTATTTATTTAAATGTCCGCAGTAGGCACCGTAGGCTCTCATGATAAAGCCCCTTGATAGGGTGCTTATGTCACCTACAAAAGAACGTAGGTTGTGGGTTCTTAAGGTATGACCTAAGTCTCTAAGCCATGTTCTGAAAACCACAATATGTAGGCCGGAGACAGGGAGACAGATAGGGAGAGGGAGGAAGAAGGGGGGGGAGGTGTTTTGGCCTTAAGACCCTCCCAAGCATTAAAACCTTAAACCCTTGGGCCCCGGGCAACTTGGTCTTAGTCGTCTAAGCTCTGCGAGAGGACGACACCAAGTACCTGGAGGACCTCAAGGCCACCTGCGTTCAGAAGGCCGCCGAATTCAAGGCCCCCCAGGGCTACGTTTTTTTTTTTTTCGTTTTCAATACTTTTATTTCTTTTTTCTTGCCAGTATCAGATCCTTTGTATAATGATGAGTTGGAGTGGCGATGACTATTTGTTAGTATCATTGTTGTTGTGTTTTTGTTTTAAAGCTTTGTTCAGGGGTTCAGGGGCTAAGGTGGCAGTTTTGGAGGGTGCATGAAGCCTGTATTCATCATGGGTAGTATAGAGTTTCTTTGTAGGTTTTTGTTGGGGTGTTGTAGGGCTTGGAGGGTTTTAGGGCCGGAGGGTGCGGTGAGGTGCGGTGCTGTAGCCTCGGGGCCG